TCCGACCGCTTTTTTCCCCTTTTGTCCAACGCTGCGCTTCCCCGATCACTTTTCTCTTACTTCCCATTTAAAGGCAAAAAAAAGCAGCGAGTGTCCGAGTGCAGCCGCGCTGGCGCGCGCGCACGCTCGGCATTGTCGAGCTTTACGGTATCGATGTCGCGGTACGGTAAAGAGTCCGCGACGTCGCGACAGAGCTGACGAAGCGCGGGAGAAGATGCAATTAATTAAAGTTGAAAACAGTGTACGGCCGGGGCTAAATGAAAGTCAGATTTGAAAGCTCGCGGAGAGCGTCCCGCGCGCGCTTTTGTTCCGTCGCGGCGTAATAACGGGCGCCCTACGCGAGGGTTTAACACGTCGCTCGGTGATGGTGATGGTGACGTTCGCTCGGCGAAAACGCGGAACTAGTTTGTTTTAATGGCTCCGTGCTCCGTGCGCGTATCAGTTGTGTGTGAGTTCGGATTCACGCCATGCTGATCATAACGGGGCCGTGTAACGAAAGTTACGAGAACGCCGCCGGATCGAAGCCCCGGACGGAACAGCTACGGGGCTTCCTCGTAACTCGATTAGCGGCTCGTAGTGTAATATAAAATCTGGGCCGTCATGATGCCGGGGCCAGAGCGCGGAAGCCGTAAGACTAATAAAAAAAAGGAGAAAAATGCCGCCCCGGCTTTATGCAGCGCGTGTATACTAAAGGGCTTCCTTTTTGTTTGGCGGTGTCGCTTTGTGAAAGCGTCGCGCTTAGCCATTCGCGACGGCTTTACGGCAGGCTCGCCGCCTCTATCGGACAAATTCTGCCGCCTCGCCGAGAATGTCTCTTTGCGTTTCTTGTTAATTGTATTTCGCGGCAAAGTCGTCCCCGGCGAAATGCGCGCGCGTTCGAGCTGTCGTCCTGCCCGCTTCTCCCCCCTCCCGGAAAAGCTTTCCATGCAGGATAATACCGGAAGGATCCGACGTCGCGCCCCGGTGTAGCTTCACGCTCGCGAATTTTTGCCCAATCGAGTTTCCGAGCGGAGTCCGTGCCATGATGAAAGAGAATCCGCGGGACGTAAAATAAAGCCCAATATCACGGTAGGGTGATGCGGTTGAAAGAGCCCGGCAGAGTACTCCGCGCCGCGCGTGCGCGACAAAATCTGAACGCTATAATTTCGTCAAGTTCGTTCCATCGGGCCCGATCTTTGTCTCGGTAATGGAGGGCCTGTCGTTCGCCCACAATTCGAGAGTCGTTCCCTCTTCTCGTCCTCCCGCCTTCACCCTCACCCCGTGTCACTCTCCGCGGGATTTTATCGAAGGTGGGTCGTTGTACAAAGCGTCACCGTTTTGTACGACAACCTGCCATTGCTCCATCGCCGTTGTTTATTAAGGGGATGCTGGAGTCGATGACGAACTCGAACAGTGTCGATAATGTAAAGACGATCGTCACTAACATAATCACGCTATCCTTTTTGTATTTCTTGTATATACAGGACTTTCATGAATGTGTGTTGCTTTGTTTTACCGTATTCAACGGAAAACCTAATCATACTACTGTCCAAAAAGTAAGACCAATTTAAAAATTTTTTTTTAATCTTTATTTATTATTCCAAATCTATTTCGTCGCCTTCAAAGTAATCCCCCTC